TTTTTTTTTTTCAATAAAAATTTTCAATTCCAAAGACATTCTGAAACAATTCTGCACAAAATTCTATATCAAAATAGAACAGTCAACTTTTGCAGTTTCGCGATCTTTTTAGAAGCTTTTCTCAAAATGTTCTTTCATGAAAACGTTTCCACTGTAATTGCAAATAACCAAAATAAAATTTAAGTCAAATCGGTCCAGCCTCTGCTCCCAAACAAATACCCAGGTTTGGAGGGAGAGTCAATATTACCTCCTATACAAACTGTGAAACTGACATCTTCATGATTTTGGAAAATATCAAAAAAATGGGCGTAAAATTGGACGGTGCCATTTTTTGCAAAAAAGCCTAACTCGGGATAGGACGAATATAAAAGAAATATATTATCCAAATCTTTCCAGCCCTTCTCAACTGATTCAATTACCAAGGAACAATAATCGGTTTATATATATACACATTAAAAAATAGGTGTGGTCAGTTCCTCAGCCCCCAAATAAATACTTTGGATTGGTGTGAAAGTCAACAGTATCTCATGTAACAATTTTGAAACCGATATCTTCATTATTTGGCAAATATAAGGAGTTTAGATAAATCGAACTAGTGGGCGTAAAAGTGGCTGTGGTCAGTATTTTTTTCTTTCAAAACCTTACTCGGGGTATGACGAACGTTTGTACAAACATATGTGCAAATCGTTCTCAACTGATTCCATTACCAACCAACGAAAATATATTATGCACCAAAGACATACATACATATCCGACTCCAATGAAAACACACACAATTTAATTGAGGATTTATTTACGAAGTATGTTGCTGCCTCGAATTCACTAATTGCAACAGAAATGCCACTCAACTTCAAAAGATTGCAGTTTCCTGTGCGCTTGGAATTTGCTATAAAATTTACGCATTAAAGTATTACAATAATTACGTTTTTAAATTTTTTTATACCCTACAACACTATGTGTTGGGGGTATTATAAGTTTGATTGGGCCAGAATTTATGTAACACCTCGAAATATTGGTTTCCCATATAGGAAAGTATATATGGATCTTCCTAGCTCGCCGAGCTGAGTCGATCTAGCTATGTATGTCCGTCCGTCCGTCTGTCCGTCTGTCCATGTTAATTTGTAATCACTGTACAGGTCGCAATTATGGCCCGATCTTCACGAAATTTAGTATGGAGGTGGGGTTAATGTCAAAATAGAAGCCTATTTCTTTTGGAGATGATCGCCAAATGTTTAGGGGTTGAAATGGACCAAATACTAAAAAAATAGTCGGATTTTGCAGTAGCTATACAGGTCGCATTTATAGACCAATCGACGCGGAATTTCGCATGTAGCTAGAGTTTAGGGCGGGGAAGAAGCCTACCAATTTGGGTGATCATCGGATTATATTTAGCGGGTAAAATAGACCATATCTTTTGTATTGAAAAAATTCGAAATTTTTCATTCCCGGCGAAATCACAAAGCCATGACAGGGTTACTTCTGATCTTTACATTGATGTTAACATCCAACAAATCGGATATATAGCAAAATATGTGCGATATACATGTCTATCAAAGAAGATATGCTTGAAAGATCTCTTTTATGTCGAGAACGGCTGAACTGATTTCGACAGTTCTCATTAATTCAGAATGTCCTCTTGGCAGAAAAGAAAAAACGCATAAAAAATCGCATAAAAATATCTCTCTAAAGATGAAAATATTGATTTTGTAAATTTTCTCATATTTTTTCAATTTTGTCATATTTTTGGCATATTTTCATTTTGAATTAAACATTTGGTAATATTTCTACAGCTAACAAAACTAAGTAGTTAGGATATCAGGATATCATATACAGATCGCATTTATGGCCCGATCCTTACGAAATTTTGCATGGGGATAAGATGAGGGTCAGAATAGAAGCCTACTCTTTTTGAAGATGATCGCCATATATTTAGGGGTTGAAATGGACCAAAAAACTGCAAAATTGTCAGCAGGTCGTAATTATTGCCCGATCCTCGCGCACATTTGAATGGGGGTTAATACACATTGCAAAAGCCAAGCAGTTTTGGATGGCCATCCAAAAATATTCAATGTGTGAAATAGTTTGCCTTTTGTAGACAAAATACGAAAATGTCCATTACAGTGACTTCTTGGAGAATTCACAAATACAGGAAAGACGCACTTCTGACTATTTCGTTAACGCTGATTTAGTTGAAGAATATAGTCAAATGTCTATATCTCATATAGATGCGTTTCAGTCAAAAACCAATAATAAATGTTAATCTTTTGCCACTTCTGAGAGACTATGGGTCTTTGGGAAATATTGGTTCCAGATCTAGGAAGACCATTTACGTGCAACACCTACCAATAAATTGGAAATGAGCAAATTAGTTTAAGTTGCTATTATTCGAAAATTAGAGAACGAAACCTGATTGTTTTCTTTTATTATTTGTCACAATATCTTGTGCAATTCTTTCGAGTATCTCGCCTATATGAACTGTATCGTTTATTATAGTGTTGTAGGGTATTCAACGGTCGACCCGCTCGACTGTAGCCTTTGCTTACTTGTTTTTCATTTGTTTTTTTTTTTTTTTTTGTTTTGTTTTTGAACCAACAAATAATCGTATATAAGATTTTGATTTTGAAATATTCGTATATAAGAAAATGTAAAGGAGTAGCGAAGCGCGCAGGGTTCAGCTAGTATATTATATAAAATAAACTTGTGTTAGTTATATATACTCAAGAACCCCTGTTCTGATTGCGAAAAATTCGGAATTGTCTCTTGGCAGAAAAGGATACAATCCAAAACGTAAAAATGTGAAATTTGAAAGTTTTCATTCCGACTTTTTGAGCGTAAAAATGGGAAATTTGAAACTTTTCATTTTGACTTTTTGAACGTACAATAGTACTGTTTTGTTTTTCATGATTTCTTTTTTATATTCTACACCACAAGGAGGTCAGGGTATTATGTCTTTGTGCATTTGTTTGTAACAGGCAAAAGGAAACGAGATAGACCCATAGTTCTTTTTGATGATCTGCATAGAATCACATTCTGAGTCGATTTATGCATGTCCGTGAGTCCCTCTGTCCGTCTGTCCACGTATTTTTGTAAACAAAGTACAGTTCGCATTTATTGCCCTATCCAGGTGAAATCATTTGTTTAGCCCAAGGACGAACCCTATTAAAATTGGAGATAATCGGTCAAAACTTAGATATAGCTCCCATATATATCTTCGTCCGATTTGTCTTTTATTGTGCACCAAACGTGTAATATCAGCCGGAATGGTATGAAATTTTGCACATACAACCAAATTAGGCCTGAAAATAAGTATGCCAAATTTTACCGAGTTCAGATCGGTTCAGATTTGGATATAGCTGCACAAAACATCTAATATTTGTCCAAATGGGATGGAATTTGGCACTTACGACCGAAGCTAGTATATCAAATTTGGTGAAGATCGGTTCAGATATAGCTATAGCTCCCATATATACTGCTCATCCGATTTGTTATATATGTTACCCACAGCCGTAATATGCACTCCGTAACAACGGTATTCTGGGAATATATCAAATACAGCTCAGAAATATCTTCGCCAAATTTTATTGAAATCGGTTCCGGTTTGGATATAGCTCCCATATATATTTTTATCCGGTTTCAAATTAATTGTGCACCAAATGGGCAATACAAGTCCGAATTTAAAAGACACAAATGCTTCGGCATATATAGTCCTTTAATAATTATAATTGCAGCGTGTATGTTGAATCCTTCCATTAAAACGTTTAATTGTTATGCGGAGCTCTACTAAATTAGCAAAGTGGTGTAGGGTATCATAAAGTCGGCCCCGCCCGACTTTAAGACTTTCTTCTATGTTTAAAATCGCTAAGATCGACTATTTCATTGCAAAACATTTTAAAATAAAGGAAAATTTTTCAATGGAATCTAACTTCAAAATGATAGCCCATTCTATTGGCTAAATTCGTAAGAACCTTTAAACATTTCCTGTAACAAATCCGTGAACAAGATCAAATTTTTTTTTTTTTCAATTTTATGTAATGTTAAATTTTTTCAATTTGACTTATCATATTGAATTCCACTTTTTTTGTGAACAAAATAAAGTATTATTTAACCATCTATACATATAAAGGAAATTTATGTTAGTTACTACGCTTATAACTCAAATACTTTTGGCCTGATTTTGACAATTTACACCATTACGAAATGGTCTCTTGACAAAAAAGAATAACATCTAAAAATTTGCAATTTAATTTTTTTTTTATTTTTTATAATTTTAAATATCTTATGAATTTTTTTTAATTTGACATGCCTTATTTAAGTTAACATTTTCTTCTTGTTTGAATTCTGAATGTAAGCTAAAGAAAACGGCTAATCTCGTTTTACGATGTTAAATTGTGATCCGATCCGTTGGACTATTGTGTCTGGATTTTTTTCTGGAAAACAATACACATTTACATCTTATAAACATTTACATCTTTCTCCACTTGTTATGCTTTTGTTCAACCTGAATGAAGTAGTAGAAAGATGTAAATGTTTATAATTGCGGTTGTAAGATTTAGAAGACTTTCCAACCGAATTTTAGTTTTATTTAATTACTTGGTTCCTCTTCTATTGAGCTTACGATCTCGTCACTTGGGTAATTTTTTTTTTGTGATAGAAGTTATTTTTTAAATAACTTGTGGGGAGAATATCCCAGACAAAAAACAAGGGAACTGATGAGGATTGGTGGCTCTTTCCGAAACCTAGGTATTCCCTGCCTTACCCCCTGGTAAACATTATCATCGTTCTCCACTAATAAACAAACGTTGTTTTATAAAAACAACAATAAAGGGATAAAGCATGACCATTTTGCAACAACAAAATACTACGGTATCCCGAACAAACAAGCCAACACTGTAATATAAAAAAGTAAAAATTATGGCGTTTGACTTTGTTGCAGTTTCTTCATCTCACCCTGTATATATTTCCATTGATGCTAATTTCTAACTTTTTTAAAAATTACTTACCACAACTCGTATTATAGTCCGGTAGATCAAATGTTATGTCTGAATAGGCGCAGGGCTTAGCTCGAGGTTTGCATGGCCAATCCAAGCCTATTTTACCGGGATCCCGTACCCTAATTTTTAAACTAGCTGTTGAAACAGAGGATATAATAGCTGGATCCACAAGGCTGTATATGCGACCGCTATTCATTTCGTTAATAACATTCATCATAGGTATAAATGCATTTTCTCTCCAGTAGTTTATACTCGTGCACTAGAAAGTAAATTGAATATATGCATCAATATAAAATGATGATTATCCAATGTATATTACTAGTTGTAGCACATCCCGTGAAGGATGACCAACTGCCAATTTCAGATTTTTTTCGCATGAAGACAGCAAAAATCGGCGAGGTATAAATCGATCTCCATAGGTCAACGGAACATGCTTGTCGGGGGGTACATTGTTCTGAAAGTTTAAAATCAATAATCAAATTTTAACACAAGTATTTCTAAACGGTTGCAATCTTCAGAGAAACATGGAAACGTAATAACATACCGTTTTATGAATTTATTAACACTAGATATAGATCCAGTACTTTACCAAGTTCACTTAAAGTTGCCTAAAATAGATTAAATATGACCACTTTATCAGATTGAGATGAAATTTTCCACCCAATATTTGTGTGGCCCAATGACGTACCCTATTGGTGATAATCGGTTCAAATTTAGATATAACTTTAGGTTCAAATTTAGTTATACCTCCCATATATATCTTCGTCCGATTTCGGGTTGATTGTGCACTAAATGGCTAATATCAGTCCAAATGACCTGAATTTTGCCACATCCGACCGAATTCAGACTCAAAGCAAGTACATCAAATTTAGTAAAAATCGGTACAGATATAGATGTACCCTCCCACACATATGGACGTCAGATACTGCTCGAAAATACTCCTGTCGGTTCAGATATATATCCCTATCCGATATAATGTGTATTGTGCACCAAAAACACTGAACTTTGGCAATTACGACAGAATTTATCTTAGAAACAGTACTTCAAATTTCGTGTAAATCGGTTAAAATATAGCTATAGCTCCTATATGCAGGGTTAGATAAAAACAAGTAAAAAAGCAGTAAGTTCGGCCGGGCCGAACCTACATAGACATTGTTTTTTCATAAGCCATTACCATATTCAAATTCGAAACTTGAAATAACCGTGAATAATGTAGCTAAGTTCATCAAAATACCGTATATAGGGAGGTACCGTTATATCGGAGCTATACGAAGAACTGGACCTGCGTAGATAATTTTCTGTCACATGCTGTAGCTTCTATTTCTTACTTCAAATTCCCATTACGAACTCTAATTGCGTAATTTGAAACTACAACGGTGAAAAATGACGCTAAAGTCATCAAAATACCGAATATTGGGAGGTATCGTTATATGGGGGCTATACGAAGACGTGGACCTGCACACACAATTTTCTGTCTTAGGCTGTAGTATTCATTTCAAACTTCAAATGCCAAATTTGAAACAATTCCGGTTAATAATTTCGCTAAAATCATCAAAATACCGAATATCTGGAGGTACCGTTATATGGGGGCTATATGAAGACGTGGACCTGCACAGACAATTTTCTGTATTAAGCTGTAGTATCCTTTTCGAACTTCAAATACCAAATTTGAAACAATTCCGGTGAATAATATCGCTAAAATCATCAAAATACCGAATATCGGGAGGTACCGTTATATAGGGGCTATACGTAGACGTGGACCTACATTTACGAACTTAACCTGCCTACTGGAACAATAAACATGTGTGCAAAATTGTAGCCTTCTATCTCTATTCGTTCGAAAGATAGCGTGATTACAACAGACAGACGGACATCGCTAACTCGACTTAGATTTTTACGCTGATCAAGAATATATATACTTTGTTGGGTCTGACATGAGTATTTCGATGAGTTACAAATGGAATGACAAAATAAATATACCCTCCATAGTATGGTGGAGGGTATAATAAATAAAATACGACAATTACCGCTTTGTTATCTTAAAACACTGTTTGGCAAATAACTTGGAATATATCAGTGTTTGGAAAAGTGCCCTTGTGCTACACATATAAAAATGAACAATGGTAGGAATGTCCGAAAAAGTTTTTACTACAAATAATCCCAATAACGTGTAGATAAAGAATTTATTAAAAATGGAAGCCTTCTCCGTTTATTTTCTGGGAAGTCACACACATAAGTTTAATATTCAACGAGTAAAAAGCAGTAATTTCGGCGCCGAGCTTTGAATACCCTCCACCATTTGGAACGAATTAGAAAAAAATAAAATCCATTGAAAATCCATTGGAATATATAGCTAAAATCATCAAAATACCGATTAACGGGGGTACCGTTATATGGGGGCTATACGATATCGTTAACCCCCCTCTATGTCAGGGGGTAAAGTGCTCACAAAGAACCCCTTGTGTGCAATTTCGGATAATTCCGTTAAAAAATGTGGCTAAAATCATCAAAATACCGAATATAGGGGAGTACCGTTATATGGGGTTATACAATATTGTGGACCTATATAGACAATTCCGTTTCAGGGGTAAAGTGCTCACAAAGAACTCCGTGTGTGGATTTTCAGACAATACGATTGGAAAATGTGGCTAAAATCATCAAAATACCAAATATCGCGGGGTACCGTTATATGGGGGCTATACGATATCATTAACCTATACAGAGAATTCTCTGTCGGGGGGTAAAGTGCTCACAAAGAACCCCTTGTGTACAAAGAACCCCTTGTGACCATCCCGTTGAAAAATATGGCATGAAAACATCATCAGACAATTCCGATAAAAAATGTGGGTAAAATCATAAAAATATCGAATATCGGGGGGTACCGTTATATGGGGGATATACGATATCGTGGACGTGTATAGACAATTCTCTCACAGGGGGTGAAGTACTCACAAGGAACTACTTGTGTGGATTTTAAGACAATTCCATTGAAAAATGTGGATAGAATCATCAAAATACCAAATATCGGGGGTACCGTTATATGGGGGCTATACGATATCATGGACCTATAAAGATAATTCTCTGCCGAGGTATAAAGTACCCACAACGAACTCCTTGTGTGGATTTTCAGAAAATTCCCTTGAAAAATGTGGCTAGAATCATCAAAATGCGAAATAACGGGGGGGAGGGGTACCGTTATATGGGGGCTATACGATATCGTGGACCTATGTAGATAATTCTCTGCCGAGGTATAAAGTACCCACAAGGAACTCCTTGTGTGGATTTTCAGACAATTCCGTTGAAAAATGTGGCTAAAATCATCAAAATGACGAATACCGGGGGGGTACCTTTATATGGGGGCTATACGATATCGTGGACCGATATACCCCATCTTCGAACTTGACCTGCCTGCAGACAAAAGAGAGATCTGTGCAAAACGGACAGACGGACAAACAGGGCTAAATCGTCTTAGAATTTTACGCTGATCAAGAATATATATACTTAGTTGGGTCTAAAATGATTATTTCGATGATTTACAAACGGAGGGAGGGTATAAAAATTATGGCGTTTGACTTCGTTGCATTTTTATACCCTCCACCGAAAAAAGTAAAAATCGATCTCCATAGGTCAACGGAACATGCTTGTCGGGGGTACATTGTTCTGAAAGTTTAAAATCAATAATCAAATTTTAACACAAGTATTTCTAAACGGTTGCAATCTTCAGAGAAACATGGAAACGTAATAACATACCGTTTTATGAATTTATTAACACTAGATATAGATCCAGTACTTTACCAAGTTCACTTAAAGTTGCCTAAAATAGATTAAATATGACCACTTTATCCGATTGAGATGAAATTTTCCACCCAATATTTGTGTGGCCCAATGACGTACCCTATTGGTGATAATTGGTTCAAATTTAGATATAACTTTAGGTTCAAATTTAGTTATACCTCCCATATATATCTTCGTCCGATTTCGGGTTGATTGTGCACTAAATGGCTAATATCAGTCCAAATGACCTGAATTTTGCCACATCCGACCGAATTCAGACTCAAAGCAAGTACATCAAATTTAGTAAAAATCGGTACAGATATAGATGTACCCTCCCACACATATGGACGTCAGATACTGCTCGAAAATACTCCTGTCAAATTTATCGAGATCGGTTCAGATATATATCCCTATCCGATATAATGTGTATTGTGCACCAAAAGGACTGAATTTTGGCAATTACGACAGAATTCATCTTAGAAACAGTACTTCAAATTTCGTGTAAATCGGTTAAAATATAGCTATAGCTCCTATATGCAGGGTTAGATAAAAACAAGTAAAAAAGCAGTAAGTTCGGCCGGGCCGAACTTACATAGACATTGTTTTTTCATGAGCCATTGCCATATTCAAATTCGAAACTTGAAATAAGCAGTGAATAATGTAGCTAAATTCATCAAAATACCGTATATAGGGAGGTACCGTTATATCGGAGCTATACGAAGAACTGGACCTGAGTAGATAATTTTCTGTCACATGCTGTAGCTTCTATTTCTTACTTCAAATTCCCATTACGAACTCTAATTGCGTAATTTGAAACTACAACGTTGAATAATGACGCTAAAGTCATCAAAATACCGAATATCTGGAGGTACCGCTATATGGGGGCTATATGAAGACGTGGACCTGCACAGACAATTTTCTGTATTAAGCTGTAGTATCCTTTTCGAACTTCAAATGCCAAATTTGAAACAATTCCGGTTAATAATTTCGCTAAAATCATCAAAATACCGAATATCTGGAGGTACCGTTATATGGGGGCTATATGAAGACGTGGACCTGCACAGACAATTTTCTGTATTAAGCTGTAGTATCCTTTTCGAACTTCAAATACCAAATTTGAAACAATTCCGGTGAATAATATCGCTAAAATCATCAAAATACCGAATATCGGGAGGTACCGTTATATAGGGGCTATACGAAGACGTGGACCTACATTTACGAACTTAACCTGCCTACTGGAACAATAAACATGTGTGCAAAATTGTAGCCTTCTATCTCTATTCGTTCGAAAGATAGCGTGATTACAACAGACAGACGGACATCGCTAACTCGACTTAGATTTTTACGCTGATCAAGAATATATATACTTTGTTGGGTCTGACATGAGTATTTCGATGAGTTACAAATGGAATGACAAAATAAATATACCCTCCATAGTATGGTGGAGGGTATAATAAATAAAATACGACAATTACCGTTTTGTTATCTTAAAACACTTTTTGGCAAATAACTTGGAATATATCAGTGTTTGGAAAAGTGCCCTTGTGCTACACATATAAAAATGAACAATGGTAGGAATGTCCGAAAAAGCTTTTAATACAAATAATACCAATAACGTGTAGATAACGAATTTATTAAAAATGGAAGCCTTCTCCGTTTATTTTCTGGGAAGTCACACAC